TCTGTCTGTCTGTCTGTCTGTCTGTCTGTCTGTCTGTCTGTCTGTCTGTCTGTCTCTGACTCCCTCTTTCAAACTACCCTAGCGTCCATCTGCCCGATCCTGACTCTTTATTCGGAGCCCATCAAATCTCCAAAAATACGAAGAAATTCAAGGACGCTCGCGTTCATTAAGTCTGCAATTGCACTTTTGTGTCCATGTAATCGGGTTGTTGATGAAAACACGAATCCACTTAGCGATGGCAGCATAGAATACTCTCTTGTATGGCGAAAACGTAGTCGTATTATCAAATGTCTGGAAAGAAATTCCATCTTGTTTGTATGCGTTGATGGTGTAAAGGTTACATTCTTCGCGATTATATGCCAAAGACATGCCTCCCATTCTTTACACTAATTTATCGAACGCATCGGTTTGTTTGTTTGTTAGCTTGTTTGCTTGTTAGTTTGCTTGTTTGTTTGTTTGGTTGTTTTTGCTGAGATTGTGGTATACTACCCCACCCGAGATGGCACAGACTAGCAGAGCCGAGGGAAACCGAAGGGGGCGTAAAATAATTAATTAGTGTGTGGTTGGCGGGCGCACTGGTTTGGTTTGCTCCTTCTTTCCTATAAAACATTTATCTTCCTTATCTCCCCCTTCTTTTCTTTGTAGGATAATATAAAGTAACACCATCAGTCTTCGGCACTTTTATTATAACCAATTTGTGTTGCAAGTGTCTTAAACTCTTACCATCTCCAAAAGTTAAACTTTCCAATCAAACATCTATTGTTCTTACCTTTTTTTTCTTTCTTTTTTATGTCAATGTAGAGTAACACCTCAAATCTTTGACACTTAAATGATTTATTTCTATTGCAGTTCCGTAAAACTCTTACTAAACCTAACATTTCCAATAAAACGTCTATCGTATTTATCTTTCCTCCTTTCCTTTGTATTTGACTCTCTAGTAACACCTCTAATCTTCAACTCTTATAATAATATGTATTATTTGTGTTGCAAGTCCAGTAAAACTCAACTAAAACTACACCACAGATTAAAACAAAAATAGTTTATTATCATTACTGCGAAATCATAAAATACAGCGGTAAATATAACAAAGGTGTGTCCAAGATAACTATTGTAATGAGTTGTCCTCTGGCCTGGGAAGATTAAAATTTGATGCTCACACATATGAATGTCAAGCAATATCGGGGACATGGGCGTGGGTGGTCGACAGAGAATGTGCGAGTCAGGCATGTGATGATGTTACCCTAGCTTAATGAAAGGTCGTTGCCCTGCGGAGCTATCATCAGATCCAAGCTACAGTATCAGTTCGTATTGTTTGAAATGAATAAAAGAATTTTAAAAAGAAAGAAAGAAAGAAAGAAAGGAAGAAAGAAAGGAAGAAAGAAAGAAAGAAAGAAAGAAAGAAAGAAAGAAAGAAAGAAAGAAAGAAAGAAGAAAGAAAGAAAGAAAGAAAGAAAGAAATTAACCAATCAATCAATCAACCAATCAATCTATCAATCAATTCAATCAATCCAATCAATCAAGCAATCAAGCAATCAATAACGCTTTATTGATTCCCGTTGAGATATCTGAGACACAATGGGACACGTATAAGATAATAATAATATAATACCTTTAACAGACAAATATAATACATGCAAAGAATACAGAATTCGATGTACGCAATAATACACCAATGCTGACAATTTTGCAAACATGCCTTTGCTGCTTGCCTTTGTGCAGTTTTTGAGTGTTTAAACATTATTTTTTTAAAGATAGAGTTATCGAGTCTTGCTCAAAGACGCACCCCGGTTGACCATCTGTCTAAACCATTATTTCTGAGTCTGTTTAGTTTTAGTAAGAGTTTTACGGCACTTGCAAACACAATACGGTCATACAAGTGCCGAAGATTAGAGGTGTTACAAGAGAGTAACAAACATAATATAACAGAAGGAGGAGAGATCAGGACGACAGATGTTTGGTAGGAAAGAAGGAACAAACCACACTAGAGCACCCTCCAACCGCCCACATTTGTGAGTCTGTTCTCACTAGCCACTCGGCCACTGAAGCCTCGACCTTTCGTTATTATTGACTTTCAAGAGTGTCGGTATAAAACAATTCTCTCTGCAGGGGGGGGGGGTGGATAAAGTAACACGTAGCTGTCTAAATGACATGTCAAAGTCGGATTAAATTTCGTCATTACGTTCTTAATTAGCAAGTTCGAGACAAAAAGAAATAGTTCATGTCGTATCAGTCAAGTCCTACGAAAACTTTTCTATAGATTAGTCAGCGGTAACTAAGTATTTATTTACATTTGAATTAATTTCTCTCGCTACTTTTTGTTTCACTTTAATTATTTTTTTAAATTAATCATATTCTTTTCCACTAATTTTTTTAA